GCAGGAGGGGCTGGCGTGGTGGCTCACGACTGTAATCCTAGCCACTTTGTAGGGCCGAGCAGTGTGGATCATGAGGTCAGGGAGATCGAGGACCATCCTGCGCTTCCCCGGTGAAACCCCTGTCTCTACTAAAAAAATAAAAAATTTAGCAGGTCGAGGGGCAGGCGCCTGTAGTCCACAGCTACTCAGGGAGGTGGAGGCAGGAGGAATGGTTGTGAACCCGGGAGGCAGACTTGCAGTAGCCAAGGATCAGTGCACTGCACTCCAGCCTGGGGCGACAGAGCAAGACTCCGTCTCCAAAAAAAAATAAAAACAAAAACAAAAAATAAAAAACAAAGCAAAAAAATGAGTCAGGAGAATTGCACGAGCCCAAGAGGTCAAGACTGCAATGAGCCATGATGGTGCCACTACACTCCCCTCCTGGGCAACAGAATGAGACCCTGCCTCAACACAACAAAAAAAACAAAGTTTTTAAAATTAAGCGAGAAAGATGCAAGATTTCACCTTGGAGGTGAAAGTGCATGGACATTTAGGTCAGGAGGTGAGGCATCTCGAAATCTCAGCTCTGCATCCTAACTAGCTGTGTGATCTCATGCAAGTTGCTTGGGCTCTCTGAGCCTCAGAAGAGTAATTTCTAAATGGAAATGACACCACCCCCTGTGCTGGGTTGTTGTTCCATTTGGAGGGCCTGGTACCTGGGTGCTCAGAAACCATTAAATTTAGGAAGAAACAGAAAATAAACCTTAACAAACCTCTTCTAGTTTTGGACAGAGTATTTTGTCATGTACTCGTACACATTTTCAGTATAAGGTTTTTTGGAGTGTAACTGCTGAGCATCTGTCAGAGCAGGGAACTAAAGGGCTATCAGCTTCCAGGGTTTCCCTAAATTTCCGTTTGTACCTTGTTAAGTAAGAAATTGCAACACATTTGCCCTGACTTCCTCTTATTTAGGCTCACTAGCATCTTTCAGATGCTTGGCCACATTGGGGCCCCTGGCATCATGTAGTGGGATAGTAGCTGAATAGGGAAGGCTGTAGCAGCTATGGTGTTCTCAGAGCCAGCATTTACTGAGTCATAGCTACCACTTAGATTGTGTTGTACGTACATTGTCTCATTTAATCCTCACAGGAGTCCCAGGCAATTGTTATCCCCTTTTTACAGATGAAAGATGAAAGAACTATGGCCAAAATCACATAGCTGATAATTGGCAGAGACAAAATTCAGACCCCAATTGTCTTATGCCCAAGGCTTAGATGTACTAGCAGTATGTTAGGATACCAATCCTAGTGTTCAACCCCTGTTACTCCTATGCCTCTCTTTTATCTATTAAAAACTGCTTGTGGGGATTGGGCATGGTGGTTCACACCTGTAATCCCAGCACTTTGGGAGGCCTAGGCAGGCAGATCATGAGGTCATGAGATCGAGACCATCTTGGCTAACATGGTGAAATCTCGTCTCTACTAAAAATACAAAAAATTAGCCAGGCATGGTGGCAGGCGCCTATAGTCCCAGCTACTCGGGAGGCTGAGGCAGGAGAAGGGCGTGAACCCAGGAGGCAGAGGTTGCAGTGAGCCAAGATCACGCTGCTGCACTCCAGCCTGGTGACAGAGTGAGACTCTGTTAAGGGAAAACTGACTTCCTTTGATTGGAAATAGCACAGTGCAGGGAAAAAAAGCTGACTTGCTAATGGTTTCTTCTGCACATTTTTTGCCAGTTTGACTTGAGAAAAAAGTATGCCAAAAACTAGGTATGGGGTCTCACTATATTGCCCAGGCTGGACTCCTGGGCTCAAGTGATCTGCCTGTGTCAACCTCCTGAGTGGCTGGGACTATAGGCACGCCCCACCACACCTGGCTCTTATTACTACATTTTTTGACAGATTGTACAGATCATGAGGAACTCAATATATACTGAAATAAACAGATTCTCACACTGATACATAGTCACTATGAATATTATGCCTATAAATTCAGACTGGTAACAGGGGTGTTGTGTTAATGACTCAAAGACTAAGCACTGTTGCTGTTTATGATTTGAGTTCTTCAAAATAGTAGACAATTCTTATTGGTATACCTTTAATTCACACAGTTGTTCCATTCCTGGAAATTTCAGTATATATCAAAACTATCCCCCCACCAAAAAAATTTTTTTTAAGTTACTGATAATGTTAAGCGGTTTCCAAGTGTTTGTACCAGTAGACACTCTGGTTTTGGTGGTTAATTACTCGCATTGCACCACATCCTTGCCAACACTTGGTATTATCTGACATTTTAATTTTTTCCAATATGTTAGGTGTTAAATGCTATGTATAACATACCTGTTTATTTCTTTTACCTCTTTTTCTTTAGGGCTATTTTGTGTTTTACAATTGATTTGTTGGGGTTTTCTTAATATAATCTGAATAGTGATCCTTTGTTTGTTATATTGTCATTTTGTGGGTCCCCCACCCCATTGTGAATCATTGCCTTAATAGTGTGTTCAAAGTAATGATGAATATGTGTGTATTTACTTGGTAGAATTTGCTTCTATTGTGTTTTTCTTGCTGTCTTTGAATTTAATCTCTAATTTCTAATAGGTCTAAATGGAGGCTATCAAGATGAGTTGGTAGATCATCGTTTGACAGAAAGGGAATGGGCTGATGAATGGAAACATCTTGACCATGTAAGAATCTTGTAGTGTGTAATGTCCCTAATTCTTTATTACCTTTTTTTGAAACAGGAGTCTCGCTCTGTTGCCCAGGATGGAGTACAGTGGTGTGCTCCCAGCTCATTGCAACTTCCACCTCCCGGGTTCAAGCAATTCTCCTGCCTCAGCCTCCAGAGTAGCTGGGATTACAGGTGTATGCCACCACGCCCGGCTAATTTTTGTATTTTTAGTAGAGACAGGGTTTTGCCATGTTGGCCAGGCTCATCTCAAACTCCGGACCTCAAGTGATCTCCCCACCTCAGCCTCCCAGAGTGCTGAGATTACAGGTGTGAGCCACTGCACTCAGCCTACTTTTGATTCTTAATGCTACCAATAATTAAAGGAACATGTATGTTTGAAGTGAACATAACCACAGCCATGGCATCCTTTGCTTTTAATAAAAGTTGGTTTAGCTACTACTCCCTCAGCTAAAGAATTACAGTCACTCCCTAATCTTTGTGATGGGATGATCACTTCAGGTCAAAAACCAAATAAAGTCATGTAGTATAATGGTTAAAAACAAAGGTTTGTAGCCAGGCGCAGTGGCACATCCCTGTAGTCCCAGCTACTCCGGAAGCTAAGGCAGGAGTATCTCTTAAGCCCAGGAGCCAAGACTTCAAGTCTAGTCTGGGCAACATAGCAAGACAGAATTCGTTTGTTATTTGTTAAATTTTTATCGAAAGAAACTTTCTTTTTATTTTTTTCAATTCTGCTCCTTATGTAGTAAAGAGAATTGTTTTTTAGCCCACATATTCATGTTTCGTAGTTTTAGAACACAGGTCAGTAACAAACTTCTAGGTAATTCAACCCCCCAAAATTGTTTATATTCCAAAATTATTTTGCATTCTGAAAGATAGCAACCTTCCTCATCTTATCAAAATTCATAATTTCTGTTAGAAATCTGTGTATACCTTATTTTATGGTTCAGCCACAGCAAACTTACAGAGTGCTGCAGACCCCAGGGATACAACAAATGCTGCAGTAACATGAAATCGTAGACAGTTGGCCAGAAGGCCATGCATCTGAGGTTCTGTCCAAACACTGGAAGCCCTGGTAGTTACTGTCCTCAATAGGTTTGTCAGCCTCAACACCAATGTCCTTCCTGGCTGATGGAGAAACAGATAGCAATAAAGGGTTTTAAATGTAAAGTTGATATTCCTAAACCTGTACTTTAAGGAACCTGAATTCCTCATACTGCGTTGGGCTGATTTATGGTTGTTTGGATGTTCTCATCTCATCTTTGCCTGGCCCCCTCTCTGACTCAGGCGCTGAATTGCATTATGGAAATGGTAGAGAAAACAAGGCGCTCCATGGCAGTTCTGCGGCGCTGTCAGGAATCAGATCGTGAAGAACTCAACTATTGGAAAAGACGGTACAATGAAAACACAGAGCTGAGGAAAACAGGGACTGAGTTGGTCTCCAGGCAACACAGCCCTGGGAGTACAGATTCTCTCAGCAATGGTAAGGGGAGAGTCTGCGGGGAACCCAGAGTAAATGTCAGCCTTTAGAGCCCACCAATATGTCACAGAAGGCTTTTTCTACTTGACTTTAAAGAAAGGTGGTGCTCAGCCAGGCGTGGTGGCTCACACCTGTAATCCCAGCACTTTGGGAGGCCAAGGTGGGCAGATCACGAGGTCAGTAGATCGAGACCATCCTGGCTAAAATGGTGAAACCCCTCTCCACTAAAAATACAAAAAAAGATAGCTGGGCGTGGTAGTGGGCACCTGTAGTCCCAGCTACTCGAGAGGCTGAGGCAGGAGAATGGCATGAATGAACCCAGGAGGCGGAGCTTGCAGTGAGCCGAGATCACACCACTGCACTCCAGCCTGGGCTACTGAGCAAGACTCCATCTCAAAAAAAAAGAAGAAGAAAAAAAAAGAAAGGTGGTGTTTGATTGTGGATTTGGGGAGACTCAGGTGATTATGAAGAGGAAGTGAGAAAATATATGAAGCCCCTGGCATGTTTTGGTGGGTGGCGGGGGGTGGGGGTGGAGGGTGGGGTTTGTTTTATATAGACAGGGTCTTGCTGTGTTGCCCAGGCTGGCCTTGGACTCCTGGCCTCAAGCGATCTTCCTGCCTCAGCCTCCCAAAACACCAGGACTTCAGGCCTGAGCCACTGTGCCCAGACTGGTACCAGGCACGTTCAAAAAATGTTAATTCTTCTTCGTGGAGAATGAGAATATTTGTGATTTTGTTCTGTCTTTGATTCTCTACATATATGTGTGCTAGGTGTTGGTCAAAGAGTGTTTGGTTGTCAAATTCAGCCTGGCTGGATGTATGTACTAGGCACTCTTGTGTCATCACTTTTGTTTCTCACAGTAGCCTTGAAAGTGTTTACCTTACCTTCCTTCTTCCTGTCCCCAACCCACCATTCAGAACAATACCACTCAATCCTCCGTGGTCTGGTGGCCTCCTACGAAAGGATTTACTGTACCACACTAGGTTGCCCCCCCTTGCCTTTCCAAGTCCGAAGCAGCAGCAATCCAGAGTACATCCAGCAAGCCTCAGTTATTCCCCTCAAAATGTTCCAGCACATTCACCCAGTAACTGAGAAGGTGCCCTATCCAAAGGCATAGCTGAGTGACAAGCCATCTGTGATCAGACTCTTTTCCCACGCACTCTGAGTTCCCAAATGTTCACCACGGAGAACAAGTCTCTTACGACAGACCTAGCATGTTCCATTGAAGGCAGCTATTAGTCTCTAAAAAACTGTAAGGAAAACTCGAGGCAAAGCCAGAATTAATACAGTATGTCCAGACAGTGGGAGCTAAAGGCTTCCCTTTCCCTACCCCACCCACAGCAGCAGCTCTGGAGCCAACCATGGAATACCACCATTAGGTGGAATATCTAGCACAACAAGGCATCAACACGTACGTAGAGTTATAGTATTAGTATGATTCCTTTTGTAAAAACTCCAAAAACAGGCCAGACGCAGTGACTCACGCCTATAATCCCAGCACTTTGGGAGGCTGAAGTGGGCGGATCACAAGGTCAAGAGATCGAAACCATCCTGGTTAACACGGTGAAACTCCATCTCTACTAAAAATACAAAAAATTAGCCAGGTGTGGTGGCGAGTGCCTGTAGTCCCAGCTACTCGGGAGGCTGAGGCAGGAGAATGGCGTGAACCTGGGAGGCGGAGCTTGCAGTGAGCCAAGATTGCACCACTGCACTCCAGCCTGGGCGACAGAGACTCCCTCTCAAAAAAAGAAAAAGAAAAAAAAAAAACAACCTCCAAAAACAGACAAAGCTAACCTTCTGGTCTCCCTCACTTTCTGAACATTTGCAGATAGTCCCTGTGTGACTTTCAGACAGGGAGAAAGACTTTTGGAGTCTTAGCTAAAGTTTATACCCAAGCCATACCTCATCCGTTAGTGAGTCTACACATGTGCAGGCGAGAAGCATAGAGTACAGAGGGAGCTGCAGTTGTGAGCCAGAGGTTGCTGAGCCAAGATACAGATCTTGCTGGAGTCATTTAAACATGGCTGTGCATGACCACTACTCACCTTTCCCACCTTTTGTATCATGGATTAGCTCTGGGGACCATATTTTTTGATTTGCCTGAGACAGTCCAGTTTATGCCTGTATCCTGTTACAGTTGTTACTAGTACTTCTCTCATTCTCAACAATGAAGGCAATCTGGATGATAAGTTATATTGTCATTCTAGGTTTAGCTCTTCATGGATACATGTTTTCTTCTATCAGGTTTCTGAGAGCACTATCAACCTGATTTAAATAGTATATTTTAGTGTCATTTATGTGTTTATTTCATGTTTATTTCTATGTTATCCATTTTAGTATAGAATGACAGTATAATTCATATCCTAAATAAATGTAATATGCAAAATGTGAACTATAACTCCTCCAAAAAGTGCTACTGGTCTGTGATGACATATGAGGAGCTTGGGTACAGTTAGCTTCATCAAGAAAGTCTAACTGTGAAATGAGTTTTTTTTGTTTTTGAAACAGTCTTGCTCTCTTGCCCAGGCTGGAATGCAGTGGCACGATCTTGGCTCATTGCAACCTCCTGGGTTCAAGCAGTTCTCTTGCCTCAGTCTCCTGGGTAGCTGGGATTACAGGCACCCGCCACCACGCCTGGCTGCTTCTGTATTTTTAGTAGAGATGGGGTTTCACCATGTTGGCCAGGCTGCTCTTGAACTCCTGACCTCAGATGATCCACCCACCTTGGCCTCCCAAAGTGCTGGGATTACAGACGTAAGCCACCATGCCCGGCCTGAAATGAGTTCTTAGATACATAGTTGTTTTACATTCTGGCATATTTTTATACCAATAATAGACATTTCAAAAGAATTTCACCAATGACCTTTTTTTTTTTTTGGAAACAGAGTCTAGCTCTTATCTCCCAGGCTAGAGTCCAATGACATGATCTCAGCTCACTGCAACCTCTGCCTCCTGGGTTCAAGCGATTCTCCTGCCTCAGCTTCCTGAGTAACTGGGATTACAGGCGCCTGCCACCATGCCCAGCTAATTTTTTTTTTTTTTTTAAAGTAGAGATGGGGTTTCACTGTGTTGGCCAGGCTGGTCTCCAGTTCCTAACCTTGTGATCCACCTGCTTCGCCCTCCCAAAGTGCTGGAATTACAAGCATGAGCTACCGCGCCTGGCCTCACCGATGACTTTTAAATAAGTAATTAGTGTTTTTGTTTGAGACGGAGTCTTAGTCTGTCACCCAGGCTGGAATGCAGTGGCATAATCTTGGCTCACTGCTCCCCAGGTTTGAGCAATTCTCCTGCCTTTGCCTCCTGAGTAGCTGAGTTTACAGGTGTGTCCTACCACAGCCAGCTAATTTTTGTGTTTTTAGTAGAGATGAGGTTTTACCATGTTGGCCAGGCTGGTCTCGAACTCCCAACCTCAAGTCATCTGCCCTCCTTGGCCTCCCAAAGTGCTGGGATTTACAGGCATAAGCTACCATGCCCAGCATAAGTAGTGTTTTTAAAGTCTTGAGTTAGCTAGGTACAGTGTCTCATGCCTGTAATGCCAGCACTTTGGGATGCTGAACCAGGTGGATCACGTGAGGCCAGGAGTTCTAGACCAGCCTGGCCAACATGTCAAAACCCTGTCTCTACTACAAATACAAAAAAGTTAGCCAGGCATGTTAGCACATGCTTGTACTCCTACCTGCTCGGGAGGCTGAGGCACGAGAATCACTCGAACCTGGGAGGCGGAGGTTGCAGTGAGCTGAGATCACGCCCCGCACTCCAGCCTGGGCAACAGAGTGAGACCCTGTTGCTAAATAAATAAATAAATAAATAAATAAAAGTATTGGGTTATGCGAAAATCCATGGTGTGGATGGTTAAAACCATGGTTATTTGGAGATAAATTGACTAGAGGCTTTAGATGGCATTATTACTTTTCCCATTTAAATTAATGCATTTTAAGTTTTCCTACCTGAAAATTTGTGATTCACAATGTTTTCACAAACAGATTTTGTCCAGGCTGCAAGGAATGTATTTAGGTGTTATTAAAGGATGCATAAATAAGTGCAAAAACCATAAGGAAAAGAAGAAAATGCTTATCACAGAGATCAGGAGAATGGTTTCCTCTGGCTGTGTGGGTGGAGGGTGCAGAGTTAGTGAGTTCTAGCTACGTCTATTCTTAGGACAGGATTGTCAGTCTGGCTAGCATTATTTAAATATTACTATGGCCATGACTGACCTCTTAGGAATTTGGGGTTGCTGGTACTGTTCACTTTCCTGAACTCAGGCTTATGATATTAAATTGTATATTAATATTTTCATTATTGCATGTTAATATTTTATGGACTGGTCAGCCATCTAATTTCGCAAGTAAATTTTTTTTTTTTTTTTTGTGAGACGAGTCCACCGAGTAGGCTATGTAATGGTGCCAATACAAGCTAACGTAACCTCCGCTCTGGCTTCAAGTGATTATTCCTGCCTCAGCCTCAGCCCCCAAGGTAGCTGGGATTAACCAGGGCGTGCCCCACCATGGCCCAAGCCTTAATTTTTGTATTTTAGTATTGAGATGGGGTTTCACCATGCTTGGTCAGGGCTGGTCTCGACTCTCCTGACCTCATGGATCCCACCCTTTGGCCCCAAAGTGCGGTTGTAGATTACAGCGTGTGAGCCACTGCACCAGCCGCAGTTAAAGATCTGTTTACTTCTTTCTTTGTTTTTCTCCTTGAGCAGAAGGTCGTCACGCCGTCACGCCAGGCTTGAGTGCATGGCACGATCTCGCGGCCTCACTGTGCAGCCCTTTCCTCCCGCATCAAATAATCTCCATGGAGCCTCCCAGCCTCGATGAGTATTGGGAGTTACAGGCATGCCGAGGCCACCGACGCCCTGATAATTTTTATATTTCTTTGTAAGGAGGTGGTTCTCACTATGTTGGCCCAGGCCTGTCTCGAACTGGCTCAAAGTGATCCACCCACCTCCTGCCTCCAAAAGTTCGGAGATCACAGCGAGTGAGGCCACCCGTACCCAGCCAATTTTTTTTTTTTTTTTTGTGATGATGGAGGTTGGTGCTCCGTCGCCCCAGGCTGGAAGTGGCAGTGGCACGATCTCGCCTCACTGGCAACCTTAGCCTCCCGAGTAGCTGGGAACAGCACCCACACCACACCCGGCTAATTTTTGTATTTTAGTAAAGACAGGGTTCACGCCATGTTGGCCAGTCTGGCTTTGAACTCCTGACTCTGGTGATCCCCTGCCCTCCACCTCCCAAAGTGCTGAAGATTACACGCCTGAGCCCACTGGGCTGGCCAAATTTTAACAAAGAAAAAAAATACTATTCAGCTATCCAGTTTTTCGCTCCAGAATGACAGTCAAAAGCCGGCCCTTCTGGATGTTTATGATTCGAGACTCCAAAAATCTGAATATAGTCCACGCTGTGGTGGCTGACACCAGTAATCCCAAAGCACTGTGAGAGGCGAAGCAGCAGATCGCGTTAACTCAGGAGTTCAAGACTACCCGGGCCAATAGGTGAGACCTTCTCAACAAAAAAAATATGGAAAATTAGCCTGATTGTTGTGCTTGGTCCTATAGTCCACACTTGCAGCTAGGGTGAGGATGCTGAGCAGGGAGGCCAGAACTTTGCAGTGAACTGAAGATGTCCACGCCTCCAGACCTGGGCACAGAGCAGACCCTATCGCCAAAAAAAAAAAAAAGATCTTGAATACATATGTTAATGAGTTCAATAAGCAGGCAGCGAAATTGGGAAAAAAGGCTTTCCCTAGTTAAAGTCAACAGCAGATGACTTCATCCACTTGTCACAGGGCTTTCCAGAAGCCTTTTAGTGGGCATGTGTCACAGTTAAGGGGACCACCGTCCTCAAGGGTAAGCCTCTAATATTGAGACGACCCATAAACAAAATGGGAATTTTCTGTTTTTTTTTTTTTTTGAGACGGATCTCGCTCGCCGACCCAGGCTGAGTGCAAGTGCCGGATCTCAGTCACTGCAAGCTCCGCTCCCCGGTCACGCCATCTCCACTGCCAGCACCGAGTAGCTGGGACCTACAGGCCCCTGCCCACCTCGCCCGCTAGTTTTTTTGTTTTTTAGTAGAGACCAGGGTTTCACCGTGTCAAGCCCCAGGATGGTCCCCTCCGATCCCCTGACCTCGGTTGATCCGCCCGTCTCGGCTCCAAAGGCTGGGATACAGGCTTGACCACCGGCGCCCGCCAGAATGGGAATTAAATATGCTGCTTCCGGAAAAAAACTACACCAATAAGTAGTATTGGTTAATATCTCTGGTGATGAAAAAGAGAAGAAAACATAGAAAATGTCTATCAACCATAGAATCCAAACCAAGTAATTCAAAACAAGAGTGAGCAGAACAAGTAAGAGGATGGAATAGTTTTGAAAATAATTCCAAAAAACCGACCCAAAGACCTGCAAGACAGTCCCAGGTTGAACAGTCTAGCCAACGTTAGACAACACAGGAAAAATAGACTTAGTATAACATCAATCGAAAGTTAGAAGACAATTCTGAAGGAAAGATTTAATTAGAAATCCCTACCCAGAACAATATGTGTTTAGATTAAGTAATCACAAATGTTCAAAAAAGCCCCCTCCACACTTTTCGCCATGGTACTACGGAAGGATATAATGCCTCAATACGTGCAAGTAAATGAAAAATGGAAACACTGAATGGCTGAAAGGAGGATCCAACACAAGAAAGAAAGAAAGGTCCCTAGCGGTAAGGAAGGAGCCCCAAGCATATGGCAAAGCAGGCCTAGAAGCACCCCGTCCATGCTGGAACAGCCCCGAACCTTGCCCTGGAGATTTCCCGTAAAATGGAAATTAAAGATACACAACAAGGAAAGGATAATTAGATTGAATGAAGTAATTACATAGCCAGCTCGGCACACAATGCACAACTGTATACCACACTGGAGACTGAAGACAGAAAATGCTGAAGCCAG